CATTTATACCATCCATGGGCCAAAGAAATTTCTAAACTCCAGAAATCTGTTGACCTTAATGCCATATTGTACTCCACAACCGCAATCTACATTGCCAAAACCAGCCATTTCTGTCACTTTATCATTTTCACAGATCCACTGTGAAACCTTCCATGCGGTCTCAGCGTTACATAGTCCTGATAAAACCGGTCGTATCGACTATGGAAAGGAACAATTATTAGTTAAGTTTTAATTCCGCAAACGACTCGCCTGTTCCGCCGTTAACCGAAAGGTTGGTGGTTTGATCCCACGCAGGGACGATCGATATTATTTTGCACTTGATTAGTTGTCCCTTATCATTTGAAGGGCATGTTCGTGGACAAGCAGCAAGGATAACAGGGAAACATATTTGATAAATATATTTTTCTTGCATTGATGTAGTACGGTTGAATAAAAAAAATAAAGCAATATTTTCTTACAAAGCTCCGAATGAGATAGTTCTTGCTACAGTTTTGAACAAATTTTATATAATTCATTTCCACTTTGGTAGGTCGAGAAGGAAACAATCAGCTGCACTTTAAATTACATTATCAGTGCGTGAGTTTGTTGTTGTAAATCGGGTCTGTTCGTTAAAATTAACTCAGATAATTTAACATCACTTTATAAACAAAGTATTTAAAATGACGGAGATGATACTTCGAAAAAAATCAAAATTTCTTCCACCAAGCTGGAATCTTAATGACATCCAATGCATTATAATTAGATGTATAGTTGATGATAACATTCTTCATAAACCTTTGAACAGTTTTTGCACCTGTATTATCTGACTATACTTTTTCTAATCATTCATATTCATCACTAAATTCTTGTATCAGCATCAAATATTTGGAGAAAACGTAATACTTTCATTCATGTCTATATTGTTGGGTTTTTTTGCCTGATTATATGTACATAATAATTTCAGCCAGGTCTATATTGTTTCTGGGCCGATTAAATGTACATTATGCTAACATCGAAGTCTACATTGTGTTATGAGCCGATTAAATGTACATTATGCTTTCATTGAAGTCTAAATTGTTATATGGGCCGATTAAATGTACATTATGCTTTTTTCGAAATCTACATTGTTATATGGGCCGATTAAATCTACATTATGCTTTCATCAAAATCTACATTGTTATATGGGCCGATAAAATCTACATTAAGCTTTCATCGAAATCTACATTGTTATATGGGCCGATTAAATATACATTATGCTTTCATCGAAATGTACATTGTTATATGGGCCGATTAAATATACATTATGCTTTCATCGAAATCTACATTGTTATATGGGCCGATGAAATCTACATTATGCTTTCATTGCAGTCTACATTGCTGTATGGGCCGAGAAAATGTACATTATGCTAACATCGAAGTCTACATTGTTTTATGTGCCGACAAAATGTACATTATGCTAAAATCGAACTCTACATTGTTTTATGGGCCGATAAAATGTACATCAACAAAATGCTTAAAAAATTACGGCGATGATGTTTCGAAGAAAATCAAAATTTCTTCTTGCAACAGGGATGTCCATAACATCCAATACATTACAGTTAGGTCTCTAAATGACGAACATCTTCTTTATAAACCTTTGAACTCTTCTTCTAGAACAAGTCTTTTATTTAAATACATGTATTATTTGACTAAACGGTTTTCCAATCAGTCCTATTCATTGCTGGATCGTCATTTCAGCGTCTACTATTTGAACAATGCCTTATATTTCACCCAGGTCTATAGTGTTACAACCTTGTATAAATTGGCACGCTGCATGCAATGATGTGTGTCAGCTATTACAAATTAGTTTAAAGTAACACATGTAAAAATGCACTTTGCACAATATAGTTTAGAATTTTTATTTATCTGTCAATACACTGAAAAAGAATCTTAAAATTAGGTTCGATACATATTTAATAAAATGACATATGTCCATTCTGAAGCATGCAATCAGTTTCAGTGCAAGTGTGAAGGTTTGCCAACATGGCTTATATGCAAACATTGCTTTCTGTTCATAGCATAAAATCCTCTTGCTGGGGTACTTTTCCTAACAAGCATTAAACCAGGGCCTTCCGTTATATTTAAATGAGCAGATGCGCTGACGAAGTAGTCCAGGGTTTTGGGAACCTTCCCCAATGGGGATAATTAATATTTTTTTAAGTACCAGGGTATAAAGTAAAAGAAGATGGTCAAATCACATAACTTTTGCCTGATAAGGAATAATCATGAATTTACAAACTAAAGGTTCAGACATTAGTTTTTAAGAGACAAAAATGGAAAAAAGGAAACAATACAATATACATTTTAATATCACTTTTTGTTTATTTTCAAGATCTAATTAAGATTAGAAATCAGAATCAGTCTCCTCCTCCATTTTAAACTTTATCTGTTTCTTCTTCTGCTCAGGTACCTGCAAATTAAAAACTAATTTTAATGCTTACAAAAAGTCAAATGTCATCTCAGCACTGCTTACATATTTAAAAGTCACATTCACTAGCATTAAGGATTATCCATACAGGATGGGGGTTGGTCAAATGTGGACAAGGGGAAGGGGTGTAAAGGACCTTGGGGGACATCAAAAAGCTTGTATTTTTGTTATGTGTTGAACAGCTGCGTTAGACCTATTGCTTTTAATCCAGTATATTTTTGGTGGACATCCTTCATGAGTGGTCCTTAAGTATAAATTATTTGTTAATTTCCATTTGTACGAATCGTGCCACAAAATATACATGAATGGGTTGGCATTAATACATAAGTCTGGCTCCCAGTGTCTGATGGAATCAGTACACAATTATTAAATCCGGTTCAGAAACCCACGAATGTAGTCCCAGTCTATTTGTAGATCACTTTTGTCTGTCTGAAATTGGTGGTGATACTAGAGCAAGATTTTGGCATTCTTGGTAATGATTTAAAGACAGTTGTTTATTCTTTAAAATGTGAGCTTATGGTGTGGTTGTCTGTGTGTATTTCGGCAACAGTGCACATTGAGTAATAAGTTCATGGTGATGATCCGGAAGTGAAATCTTTGTTCCGTTGCCTGATGTTTTGTTTACAATTCAGCCTCTCAATAAAATGCAGGTCAACCCTTGACAAGAACTAAACCGTAAAGTCATCTTTGAAGGTGTTTTAGATTAACATATGATTTGTATTGATTGCCACACAGTGGAAAGTTCAGTACTGAGAAACAGATGTAGAGAGAATATAGTAAAATCAATTGTGTTATATGGCCTGATGCCGATTACATGGCCCACACATCAGTCCCGCGGACTTGAGCGACTATACAAATAGCCAGCCAATGCACCACGGCCTGTATAGCACTCTCAATTCAGACAATACAGTGCCTGGCCTGAAGCAGGCAGTGACTGCAGTAGCCGCCACTACCAACATTCCCTCTAATATGTTTCCTGTTTGCACGAAATTTTGAATCTGCAGCTACTGCACAGCATATGTATTTGCTACCAAAATCTTAGAGCCGTGTATAATGCTAGATGGGGATGTCCGCTGGCGTAGGAGTGTGGTGGGGTGAGTTATAAGCCACATGTAGACAATATTGGCCAACTGGAAGAGGGTGCTTTAGGAAAACAGGTATTATCTGCGTATGTCCTTAATGGACAACCCCTTATGAAAATGTATTTTTTCACTGCACTTGAACTTCCCTTAATATTGTTAACCATGTTACATGTTATCTCTGCACGTGTCATTTCTGGCAAGTGTATGGTGAAAACTATGCAAAAATGAATTTATTTTGTCCAGATATTTCATGTGAATAAAACTTCCAAGCGAAAGCACGTGACTGATCAGACAAGATGGATGTAAAATGTAGTTAGCTGTACTCCAGATCTGAGTCCTGAGAACTAGAATAGGCAATTTAGAAATGCATCCACTTTACAAATACCCTGCTTTAAAAGTCAAAATTGAAATCCAATATTGATAAAATAAGAATCAAATGGCAAACCTTATATTTTATCCCTCCGCATTGGTTGGGTGCATATTTCAGGGTCTCCTATCTAGCATCTTCAATTTCACTTGCTTTGCCATTATGTTTCAAGCAGACTTATGCAAGAGTAACACAATGTCTTGCAAAGGAAAATGATGCATTGCTTTGTTCAAATGCCAGCAATAATCAATGGAGTATTTATAAAACAGAATTTGAAATGTACTTTACCCATTCATTTACAAATCTCTGGCAAGTCACATGAAAAATAGACAACTGAAATTAAGTCATACCTACTTATCAAAACCCAGCAAGTCAGAAGCTCTTGAAATGGTTTTTCCCTTTACAACCCTTAAGGCTACACTCTGACCAGAGTCTTTTTGTTCCTAGCTTTTTCATCATCCTGCAGACATCATCCCCAATATTATACCCATCATGGAAGCTCAATATAGCCAATTTTTAAAAAAACTGAGAACTACATGGCAGATGTGTCAGTCATGGCAAATGTGTTATCCTCGTTATAGAAAGTTTATTATTATTATTATTATTATTATTATTATTATTATTATTATTATTATTATTATTATTATTATTACACGTCCTTTACTTTTAATTTGTAACTTGTATTGAAAACGTTTCAATATAACAATTACTTTCGCTTTACCTTCAGACTAAGGCCAGCACAAAGATATGTTTTCCACTTAGTGTGGTGAGAGCATAGATACATTTGTATGGGCAGATATATTATCACACACCGTCACATTCCAATATGATCATTATGCAATATAAGCCGTCAAAACGATACCCTAAGGACATCCTTCAAGGCGTATAAATAAGATCGAATATTTTGACATACATATAGCAAACGTAAATAAATCCTAAATTAATTTGCTTACATCGAAATCTTTCTTGCTCACGCTTAGCTTTTCCAACATAGTGTTCCTTTCTTGTAGTTGAATTTAGAAACTTTCCACAAATTCTTAACATTACCTTGTCCTGAAGAAACTGGTCATTTCCATCATTACTGACCAATTTTTTACTGTGTTCCGTCTCTATGTGGAGCAATCGGTTAACGCGTTCTGCTGTAAACCTAAAGATTGGTGGTTCGAGCCCACCCAGTAACTATGACTAGTATTTTGCGCTTCATCATTCGTGTCTTTCATCATTTGTCTATCATAGTCCTGAACAAACAGTAAGCATAATAAATGAACATATTGTTTAAGACAAGTTTCGTGATTTATTGTACAGTGTTGAACTATAAATATTACATTCACATTACCTTCATACGACCGACAAGTTATAAGAAGACTTTTGTACCTCACGCAGTGAAGTATAGATACATAAAGGTATATTCAGATACAATATTACACACTAAAAGTATGTATGTATGTATGTATGTATGTATGTATGTATGTATGTATGTATGTGTGCGTGTGTGTTATTTCATTTTCTTGAAGGTATGTTCTTTTTCTTAATCTAGTACCTATTATGTGCATACCAAAACGACTAATCCTTTTTTTTTTGGGGGGGGAGTACTCCAGTACTTATTCTGTGCATGCTAAAGCGACTAATCTTTGGAATGTTCTTTTCTGTACTCCATTACCTATTCAGTTAAATAAAACGATCAAGATTGGAGTTTTGTTTTATTGCAGTACATATTGTGCATACATATACGACCAATCTTTGGGTTGTTTTTTGTACTCCAGTACCCATTCATTGCATACTAAAACGACCAATCTTTGGGTTGTTTTTTGTACTCCAGTACCCATTCATTGCATACTAAAACGACCAATCTTTGGGTTGTTTTTTTGTACTCCAGTACCCATTCATTGCATAATAAAAAGAAATATCTTTGGGTTGTTTTTTGTACTCTAGTACCCATTCATTGCATACTAAAACGAACAATCTTTGGGTTGTTTTTTGTACTCCAGTACCAATTCATTGCATACTAAAACGATCAATCTTTGGGTTGTTTTTTTGTACTCCAGTACCCATTCATTGCATACTAAAACGAACAATCTTTGGGTTGTTTTTTGTACTCCAGTACACATTCATTGCATACTAAAACGACCAATCTTTGGGTTGTTTTTTGTACTCCAGTACCAATTCATTGCATACTAAAACGAACAATCTTTGGGTTGTTTTTTGTACTCCAGTACCCATTCATTGCATACTAAAACGACCAATCTTTGGGTTGTGTTTTGTACTCCAGTACCCATTCATTCCATACTAAAACGACCAATCTTTGGGTTGTTTTTTTGCACTCCAGTACCCATTCATTGCATAATAAAACGAACAATCTTTGGGTTGTTTTTTGTACTCAAGTACCCATTCATTGCATACTAAAACGACCAATCTTTGGGTTGTTTTTTGTACTCTATTACCCATTCATTGCATACTAAAACGAACAATCTTTGGGTTGTTTTTTGTACTCCAGTACGCATTCTTTGCATACTAAAACGACCAAACTTTGGGTTGTTTTTTGTATTCCAGTACCAATTCATTGCATACTAAAACGAACAATCTTTGGATTGTTTTTTTGTACTCCAGTACCCATTCATTGCATACTAAAACGACCAATCTTTGGGTTGTTTTTTGTACTCCAGTACCCATTCATTGCATACTAAAACGAACAATCTTTGGGTTGTATTTTGTAGTCCAGTACCCATTCATTGCATACTAAAACGAACAATCTTTGGGTTGTTTTTTGTACTTCAGTACCCATTCATTGCATACTAAAACGAACAATCTTTTGGGTTGTTTTTTGTACTCCAGTACCCATTCATTGCATACTAAAACGACCAATCTTTTGGGTTGTTTTTTGTACTCCAGTACCCATTAATTGCATACTAAAACGACCAATCTTTGGGTTGTTTTTTGTACTCCGTTACCCATTCATTGCATACTAAAACGACCAATCTTTGGGTTGTTTTTTGTACTCCAGTACCAATTAAGTGCATACTAAAACGAACAATCTTTTGGGGTTTTTTGTACTCTAGTACTCATTCATTGCATACTAAAACGAACAATCTTTGGGTTGTTTTTTGTACTCCAGTACCCATTCATTGCATACTAAAACGACCAATCTTTGGGTTGTTTTTTGTACTCCAGTACCCATTCATTGCATACTAAAACGAACAATCTTTGGGTTCTTTTTTTTGTACTCCAGTACCCATTCATTGCATACTAAAACGACCAATCTTTGGGTTGTATTTTGTACTCCAGTACCCATTCATTGCATACTAAAACGACCAATCTTTGGGTTGTTTTTTGTACTCCAGTACCCATTCATTGCATACTAAAACGACCAATCTTTGGGTTGTTTTTTGTACTCCAGTACCCATTCATTGCATACTAAAACGACCAATCTTTGGGTTGTTTTTTGTACTTCAGTACCCATTCATTGCATAATAAAACGACCAATCTTTGGGTTGTTTTTTTGTACTCCAGTACCCATTCATTGCATAATAAAACGAACAAACTTTTGGGTTGTTTTTTGTACTCCAATACCCATTCTTTGCATACTAAAACGACCAATCTTTGGATTGTTTTTTGTACTCCAGTACCCATTCATTGCATACTAAAACGACCAATCTTTGGGTTGTTTTTTGTACTCCAGTACCAATTCAGTGTATACTAAAACGAACAATCTTTTGGGTTAATTTGTACTCCAGTGCCCATTCATTGCATACTAAAACGACCAATCTTTGGGTTGTTTTTTCTACTCCAGTACTCATTCATTGCATACTAAAACGAACAATCTTTTGGGTTGTCTTTTGTACTCCAGTACCAAGTCATTGCATACTAAAACGAACAATCTTTTGGGGGTTTTTTGTACTCCAGTACCCATTCATTGCATACTAAAACGAACAATCTTTGGGTTTTTTTTGTACTCCAGTACCCATTCATTGCATACTAAAACGAACAATCTTTTGGGTTGTTTTTTGTACTCCAGTACCCATTCATTGCATACTAAAACGAACAATCTTTGGGTTGTTTTTGTACTCCAGTACCAATTCAGTGCATACTAAAACGAACAATCTTTTGGGTTTTTTTGTATTCCAGTGTCCATTCATTGCATACTAAAACAAACAATCTTTTGGGTTTTTTTTAACCCAGTATCAATTTAGTGCATACTAAAACGACCATTCTTTGGGTTGTTTTTTGTACTCCAGTACCTTTTCATTGCATACTAAAACGTCCAATCTTTGGGTTGTTTTTTGTACTCTAGTACCCATTCACTGCATACTAAAACGACCAATCTTTGGGTTGTTTTTTGTACTCAAGAACCCATTCATTGCATTCTAAAACGAATAATCTTTGGGGGTTTTTTGTACTCCAGTACCCATTCATTGCATACTAAAACGAACAATCTTTGGGTTGTTTTTGTACTCCAGTACCAATTCAGTGCATACTAAAACGAACAATCTTTTGGGTTTTTTTGTATTCCAGTGTCCATTCATTGCATACTAAAACAAACAATCTTTTGGGGTTTTTTTTAACCCAGTATCAATTTAGTGCATACTAAAACGACCATTCTTTGGGTTGTTTTTTGTACTCCAGTACCTTTTCATTGCATACTAAAACGTCCAATCTTTGGGTTGTTTTTTGTACTCTAGTACCCATTCACTGCATACTAAAACGACCAATCTTTGGGTTGTTTTTTGTACTCAAGAACCCATTCATTGCATTCTAAAACGAATAATCTTTGGGGGTTTTTTGTACTCCAGTACCCATTCATTGCATACTAAAACGAACAATCTTTGGGTTGTTTTTTGTACTCCAGTACCCATTCATTGCATATTAAAACGAACAATCTTTGGGTTGTTTTTTTTACTCCAGTACCCATTCATTGCATAGTAAAACGAACAATCTTTTGGGTTGTTATTTGTACTCCAGTACCCATTCATTGCATACTAAAAGGACCAATCTTTGGGTTGTTTTTTGTACTCCAGTACCCATTCATTGCATACTAAAACGACCAATCTTTGGGTTGTTTTTTGTACTCCAGTACCAATTCATTGCATACTAAAACGAACAATCTTTGGGTTGTTTTTTGTACTCCAGTACCCATTCATTGCCTACTAAAACGACCAATCTTTGGGTTGTTTTTTGTACTCCAGTACACATTCATTGCATACTAAAACGACCAATCTTTGGCTTGTTTTTTGTACTCCAGTACCCATTCATTGCAGACTAAAACGAACAATCTTTGGGGGTTTTTTGTACTCCAGTACCCATTCATTGCATACTAAAACGAACAATCTTTGGGTTCTTTTTTTTACTCCAGTACCAATTCATTGCATACTAAAACGAACAATCTTTTGAGGTTTTTTTTTACTCCAGTACTAATTCAGTGCATACTAAAACGAACAATCTTTTGGGTTGTTTTTTTTTTTACTCCAGTACCAATTCAGTGCATACTAAAAGGAGCAATCTTTGGAGGGGTGGGGTTTACTCCAGTACCCAATAATTGCATACTAAAACGACCAATCTTTTGAGGGGGGTTAATCCAGTACCCATTCGTTGCATACTAAAACGACCAATCTTTGGAGGGGGGGTGCTCCACTGCCCATTCATTGCATACTAAAACAAACAATCTTTTGTTTTTTTTTTACTCCAGTAACAATTAAGTGCATACTAAAACGACCAATCTTTGGATGGGTGGGGTTTACTCGAGTACCCAATAATTGCATAAGAAAATGACCAATCTTTGAGGGGTTACTCAGGTACCTATCCTGTGCATATTAAAACGACCAATCTTTTGGGTTTATTTAATCCAGTGAACGGGAGTGGGGTGTTTATTGTTGTTATGTTCTAGTTTTGTCTTGCTATATTGTTTTGTTGTTTGTGAGAGTTGGAGGTGTTTGTTGGGGTTAGGGGGTATTTTGTTGTTTTTTTTGTTTTGTTTTGTTTTTGAAGAACTGGTCAAAATGGATTTTCTGTGACTTCGCTTGTACATCTGTATTTATTTTTGTAAGGTACGCTTTTATTTAACATAACCAATATTATATGTATTTATTTTATTCTATACTCCGGCATAACATTAGGATTGTTTAAAGCTCTTGCTCTTAAAAATCACCATTCAACAGACCTTTCCCAAATCTTCCTCTCCTATTTGTCA